TATATTCGCATTTATTCCTCACCACACAAACAGTTCACCAAATGTTCAGACATTGAAACAGAGTTTAGAATATTTGAGACAATTTTACATTTCTATTAATACGAGAGAGACTGGAGTTTGTGTGGAAGTGGAGCTGCAGTGGAGTCTGAGTTGAGACCCCCTCTCGGAGTCTCGTTTAGTGGAGAATAGTGGTTAACATTGACTGAGAATATGTGAGATTGAATGCAATGACAGCTCAACGCCAGTATAGATCTCGTAGTGAATGCTGTGAATGCGAGTGAATGTCGATTCACATGCACTGTATGAATGTGAAGGCATTTGGCATTTGGAGGCACAGGAGTAATGGGGAAAGGGATGCGCACTCACTCTCCAAATGCCTGAACACAAGAATCCGATTACGAAATGCTTGTCAAGTCATACGAACTCTGATTATATTTAACACTCAGACCACAACTTTTGGCACAAAACCAACTCAACTTTTCATGTTATCCCATATTTTGGTGATATTTATACCGAAATGTAATTTCAATGACACCTCTCATATGCCTTACTATTTGTTTCATACATTTAAATCAAGTTTTCAAAGTTTTATTACATTTATAACCAAAACTCCGGCACTTGTTTTGCGCACAATCTGTCAGATTAGCCGTCATTTGAAAGACATCTCATGTAAACATATACTGAATATTTCGCTGAAAAACACTTTTTAGCCGAAAAAACTTATTTTGATTACATCTTAGATATAATCATGTGATTAAACACTAATGACTTCCATGACTATGTACTGGATTGTAATATAAATGAGAAAAACTGCGTTTTTTGTATTCAAAACTTTTGTAAACATTTGTTACAGTTGTTGGGAACCAAAGTTTGTTTTAATTAAAATCCATGAAAACTGAATTAATAACGAATTGAATGAGCGATGAGTGAAGACAACCAAATCGGAGACCTGTCTAATAATTGTTTCACAAAATTGGGTAAAATTTGAACACTTGTTAATATTATTGAAATGATAATCACACACTTATATCAATCATAAGTTCAGACTTTGTTTATAATTGTAATCAAAGTTGCCAATATACTTAAAGTCTATTGAGTTAGCACTGGTTAGTACTACTCATTTGAATGAAGTATTTATGTATAATATTTCAATCTAATCCATTGGTTATCTCTCAAATGATTTAATGAATAAATATTTTACATAAAAATATTTGTTCAACTCAAATAAGTGCATGATACTATTTATACAGATTTTGTTTCTAATTATAAGTAAAGAATAGATTATAAAATCAGCAAGTACACGAGTGTCAATTAGCATATTATAGACCAAGTGTGTCAACTCGAGTCGAGTTTATTGACTGCATACCTGTATCTATACTTCAAATATTGTAGTTTTCCTAAACACTTCATTCAAATGACTTATTAATAACAAAAATATCATTTGCTATACAAACCAAAGCACGTGCTGAACGAGCGCTTGTAATGGGCTGACACTTTTAAATCTAACTAGCTTGGATATAAACAGCTCACTACAGTCTGTACGACTAGACTAGTCAGTTTACTTTTCTGCTATTGACAGTACTATGAGATCTAAGAATTATATTCCGGGTATGATTTGGCTGATAAAATGACATTAACTTAACATTTGACATTAGAGATAAATTGATGCACTAATTGCAGTGCTAACAAACACCAGAATATTATCAATTCAGACATAGATTACTAATTTAGGATTAAGGATTTAAATGTCGAGAGATTATCATAAATCTTATAAATTAACTTAAATAATTAATTCTTGGGAAATTAACTTTATTTAACTCAAATAATTATTTTTAGATTGTATGTACCGAAATTTAATTATTCCTATTACTGATCATTAAGAGATCTAATGAAAAGATTATCAATCATTTTAATTGTAACAAAATTAAAACATAAAATAATTAGGAAAACTGATAAAAGTATTGAATATATGTACCGAAATTTAATTATTCCTATTACTGATCATTAAGAGATCTAATGAAAAGATTATCAATCATTTTAATTGTAACAAAATTAAAACATAAAATAATTAGGAAAACTGATAAAAGTATTGAATGTTGTCTTAAATATAAGGAAAATCAGGAAAACCGGACCCAAACAGTGAATACACAGTATTAGCGGCTATTGTTTGCGACCACAAGAACCACGAGAAGGGATCAATTGAGCGCAAAGTGGTGGCCCTCTCGACGGGAACCAAATGCTATCCGTCTAACCAGTCGTCCAAAGACTACCTCATCGTTGACTCGCACGCGGAATCACTTCTGAAGCGCGCGTTTAAGCGATATTTGATCTCACAATTAGACAATGAGTTCAAAATAGATAATAATCTAGGTATAAGTCTATTCATAAGTCAATTGCCGTGCGGGTCATTGCAACGATGGAAAGGAGATCCCAATTATGTGTCAAATGAAACGCAAACTGATAGACAAATGAACCGAAAGCCGGGCAGAGGAGAGACATGTCATAAACCTCCGTGTATTAGGAAAATTGCCAAATGGATTTATATGGGATTACAGGGCAAGAGATTACTTGAATACACCAAACAACCCATTTGTATAAATAATATCGTAATCGGAAATTGCGGACAATTGGGTGAATACGACCAACAAATGATTAAGGATTTACTGTCATTAGACCCCAATTGCATTACATATAATCCATTTGAATTGAATTCTTTGCCACAAATCAAGTTTTGCAAAGAGTTTCGCAACGATTTATTCATTAAAAGCGATGAAAAACAGTCGGCGCCGACAGCCGTTGTTATGTGGTTAACAGGTATTATTAACAATTCATTAATAATTTGTTTTATTTTTGTTAATTCTTTAATCGATTGATAGTTAACAATTATGTATATCTTAACTATAAATATAATTAGCGTT